GACAGGCTGCTCTCGGGACGTTCTGCCTGCCTCGAGCTGGTCGCTACGCCCACGGGGGCAGCAGCAGCCTGACCCTGCTTTGGGGAGGGAGGCTGTTAAACCCAAAGGACCAGGGAGGGGGATCCAGCTGCCGCTCTACACCAGGATCCCCCCCCAGAGCACGTGCTGCGCTGCGGCGTGGCACGGCGCCTACTCTTGCGCAGGTTCTTCTCCCCTCCCCAGGCTGTTGCTGTGCCCCCTTCCCCACCGCAGCCCCCGGGAAGCGCTCATGACCCTGCTTTGGGGAGGGAGGCTGTTAAACCCAAAGGACCAGGGAGGGGGATCCAGCTGCCGCTCTACACCAGGATCCCCCCCCAGAGCACGTGCTGCGCTGCGGCGTGGCACGGCGCCTACTCTTGCGCAGGTTCTTCTCCCCTCCCCAGGCTGTTGCTGTGCCCCCTTCCCCACCGCAGCCCCCGGGAAGCGCTCATGAGGAACGGGGCTGGACGGCCTCAACGCCCAGCAGATGTTCCCGCTGAACCAGCCAGAAAGGAGGGAGGAGCGGGGCCAGCTCATTCCTCCCAGGGAATGAGAAAGTACACGCAGAACTATGACCCCTCCATCTATTCACAGTGCGTGATGTTACCTCTCTCCAACCCCCAGCACCGCTCCCTGAAGCCGGGCGATCGCCCGATGCTTGTTGGAAGCAGCCTCCACCCTGCAACCATTTCAAATAAAAGGCTGCAGCCTGCGCAGGGCTGCAAGAGCTCAACAGCACCCTGGCAGCAGGGAGGTAACAGCAGCTCTGTCCAAGACCCAGGCAGGCTGCGTGAATTGGGACCGAGCTGTCACCTATCCGGTGCAGATGCCCCGCTCCCCGTTGCAAACGTGCTCTCTGCTACGTCCACCCGGCTCCACCTCAGCACCGAGTGCTGAAAGCAGTAGAACACCTTTCATTAAACCCAAGGGTTCCGGGACTGCAGCAGAACTCGTTCTGAGCTCTGCTTCCCCCAGACTTTGACACGTCTGCTTGGAGCCTTCACCTGCTGCTCTCCAGAAGAAAAGCAGCAGAGAGCAAAACCAGGGAGCGCAGACAGCACTGTGCTGAGAGCCAAGCACGTGCACGAGAGGAATCCGGGACGGCAAGGTTAGCATCTCGCCATCCAGAGCACATCAGGCTTTAACGGGGCTGTGAGCAGGTAGGATTTTCGGGACATGGTTTAGTCTAGTCTACCCTTGATGGGTTTAGTGTGGACTTGGTAGTGTAGGTTAATGGTTGGACTGGATGATCTTAAAGGTCTTTTCCAACCTAAACGATTCAATGATTCTATGACAGCAGCTGAACATCAATCTGACGGCAGCATGCCGACCCCCGTTAAGCTGGGCTGGGGGGGTGGATGGAGACCGTGTTGTGCTCAGCCTGACAGAAGCTTTTCTAGGCTTTATGGCTTCTCTGCTGCAGCATAACAGGCCTGAAGCTCAGAAGCAAATCAGCCCAGCCCCGAGCCCACCCGCAGGAAGGCGAGGGGATGCCCCGTGCATCTGAACTGGGGTTCCTGGCGCCTGGCAGGGGCCTTACCTCTGTGTAAATGGAGGGGGTGAGGTAGCAGAGCAGCCGTACGTCGTCTTCCTGGCAGGCCTTCATGTCCATCATCAGGCACGTGTGCAGGTCCCCCAGCTGCGTGGCCTGGGCGAAGGACTCGTACAGGTTCATCTTCCCCGCTGCAGCTTTGCTGGAAGGAGACGTGCGCAGGTGGGAGAGGAGCCTGCCAGCCTCGCGCCACAGCCAGGGCCGGGGGTGATGGTGCGACACCGAGCCGGCTCTTGGAGGCAGCACGAGCCAAATCGAAGCTTGGATGCTTCCCCGCCATCCCCGCTGGCCTACCTGGCTTTTAAATAGTACAGGAGGTGGTAGCCGATCTTGGGTTGCTTCTGATAGAGCTCAGACAGGAGATCCAGCAGCAGTGAGAAACCGCTATTATCCTCCTGCATCTGGCAGAGGTTCCTTGGGGAGCACAGCACAGCTATGTTACACTGGATCTCACGCACGAGCTTCTCTGCTAACGAGGACCGGCAGTTTGTAGGGAACCCAGCTGCCAGCACCAGGCGGGTCCCGGCCTCTCGCCCTCGGGACTGGGCACAGGGGCCGCCTCTCCTACCCCTGCTGCAGAGGATGGCGGGACGTGCAGCAGCAAAGGGGTCAGGACCAAGCAAACTTCAGTTAGCCAGGGATCCCAGGCTTCCACAAATGACAAAATGAGCCGTGATTTTCCTGTATTTTAAGTCTTTCTACTAAACAAAATGCAGCATAGGCAGAACGAAGCAATAAACTCTTCTGATTCTGGGATCAGCCCTGGGGCAAGCAGGAGCGTGGCAGAATTAGAGCCACAGGGTTCACCCATGGTGGTGCTCAGGAAGCAAACAAGCAAGCCCTAACTAGTTTATTCAAAAATTTCAGAACAGACATACCTAAATATTAGGTAGAGAGGCTTCCCCACCGACTCCTCCAGAGACCTGCGGGACAAACGCAACAGTCAGAGCTCCGTGTGCACCTGTCCCCCGTGTTTCCCCAGCAGTGGCAGGCAAAAGCCCTGGACCTTGCCCGCTGCGGTCCTTGGGCCATCAAGGCTAATGAGGAGAGAGGAACGGTCCTGCTAGCAGAACCCAGCAGCTCTGACTCCGAGCCCTGTTCCAACAAAATCCCGGAGGAAGAGTGTACGGTGCTGGTTTGTGCGAGGACAGCAGGGACAGAATCATGGAATCATGGAATGCTCTGGGTGGGAAGGGACCTTTAGAGCCCACCCAGCCCAACCCCTGCAGTGACAGGGACAGCTT